CAGCAGCTGCGAAGCAAACTGAGGGCAGGGGGCCCCCCAGCACTTCTACAGAAGAAGGAACTTTTTCTAATGAGGCAACTCTGAGAGACCCAGTCTCCTGGCTTGAAGCCTAGCCCTCTTTGCTGCTGCTGCTGCTGCTGCTGCAGTTGCTGCTGCTGCTGCTGCTGGCACTGCAGGTGTTGCAGTGCTGCGTTGCTTTTTGCCGCTGCAGCACCGGCAGTTAGGCAGCTGCTGCTGCGGCCGCTACTGCAGCAGCTGCTGCCGCTGCAGCTGCAGTGGCATTTGCAGCAGAAGCTGCTGCTGCAGCAGCTGCTGCAGCTGCTGCTGCAGCGGCATTTTTGCTGCTTTATTTAGCCTGCTTTGCTTTGCTGCAGTAGGTACAGACAAAGGGGCCCCGGGGGCCCCCGGAAAGTCCTTTGGGGGCCCCCAAGGGGGCCCCTTTTTATGCAAATTTAGCAGCAACTTTTGTGGCCTTTCTTGATTAGATATATTCTTCTCAAGAAAAGAATAATATAGGAGGAGCTTAAGAGGGTTTGGGGTTTAGGGTTTAGGGTTTAGGGTTTTGACTCTAGGGCGCTTCTGAGACCTGGTGTCTCGCATTAATGCTGCTGCAGCAGCAGCAAGCTGGACGTTTCCCTCCTTGCAGCAGCAACGACCAGCGCAGCAGCAGCAGCAGCAACAGCACCAGCAACAGAAACAGCAGCAACAGCAGCAGCAGCAGCAGCAGCAGCAGCAGCAGCAGCCAGTGTCCGTGCTGCCTGGTAAGAGGTGCTCTTTTACCAGCAAAGCATTAAGTTAAATTAAGAAGAGTGAAGTCCAGCAAAAGAGAAAAGATAATAATAAATAAATGATGGAATAATAAATAAATAAATGCGAATAAAAGGAAAAGAAATAAACTAAAATGAGGCATAAATAAGAGCTGCTGCTGCTCAGCAGCTAGGTAAGCAACAAAGGCTGTAGTGTACATACACTCCGATTATTTGCAATTCAAAGAAATGAAACTGGTGCTCTCTCGAGCTCTCGGACTCTCTTTATTCATTTTCTTTTGAATTTAAATAATTAATTGGACAATTTTATAAATAAAATAAACTTTTATTCAGTAGTTACAGCAGAAACGCGGGAGCATTTCCGCTGTCTGCGCAGGTCGAGTGTACGTACACTCGAGCCGCCGCGCGCGGCGGCCGCGATGCAGAAACGCCACCAAAACGCGTCGAAAAATAGGATTTTTAGCGGCGAAAAGGATTTAATTAATGAAATAAAGATTATTTAGATATTCAAAATTGAAAAGTGTTTGGAAATGGGAGAAAAAAGAGGCAGATCAGGCCCAAAGCGGCTTCGGACAGCCCAGCGCATCTCGCGGCTGGTTGAGTTGTGACTGGCCGTCTAAGTGTGAATCTTTTCCGGTTTTTGGGTTCAAATTCTTCCTTATTTCCTCTTTTTCCCCTTACCTTTCCTTAATTTCCCTTTATTTTGGCATTTCTTCGTTTTTCCGCGGAGGTGTGGCCGCGTGGTTGGGCGGTGTCGCGGCTGGGGTGTACGTACACCTGGCGATTGCGCGCGGTTCTGTGGATTTGGTGGGCCTTTGGAGGTCCATTTGTCGTTTATTTGGAATAAGTTTGCGGAAAGTTTGGCAAAAAGGTGAAATGGAAGACGAGACGCAGTTCGAGTTGCTGGCGAAGTTCGTTTTTCAGCTGTACGACCGGCAGCAGCAGGGGGAAGTGTCGCCCGCGGCGCTGGGGTGTATGCTGAGGTCTTTGGGTCAAGTTTGGAGTTTTGGCGAACTTTTGGAAGTAATTAAAGCTCAAGGAGAAAGACAAGTTCGTTTTGCTGCATTTTATGCTGCAGCAAAGCAGAAGCGAGCAGCAGAGCGGCGGGCGCTGGCCGCAGCGGCCCGCAGCAGCAGCAGCAGCAGCAGCAGCAGCAGCAGCGGCGGCGTGCCCGGGCTTTCTGCGCAGGAGCAACAGGAACTTGCTGCTTGCTTCCAGCTGCTGGACCCGGAAAAGTGTGGACTCTGCAGCACGGAAGAATTAAAACATCTTTTGATTAATTCTGGAGAAAAAATAAATCCCAAAGACTTCCATTTGCTGCTGCAGCAGGAGGGCCTCGCGGGCAAGGCCTTTCTTTCCTTCCCAGACTTCGCCAGGCTCTGCGCCAGGATCCGCTTCCCCCAAACCCTAAACCCTAAACCCTAAACCCTAAACCCTAAACCCTAACCCGACGCGCACGCACTGCGCAACAGCCACCTTGCAGGCACCAAGTCAACGCAGGACAGAGCTCTAGGGCCTACGGCTTAGGGTTTAGGGTTTAGGGTTTAGGGTTTAGGGACTGGCGTTTAGGGTTTAGGGTTTAGGGACCAGGGCTTAGGGTTCAGGGTTTAGGGTTTAGGGTTTAGGGTTTAGAGACTCAGGGAGAGCAGCTGGAGCTGCGTATACACCTGAACTCTTTTGAACAATGGAAAGAAATTAAAAATTTAAAAAACAGAGAAGACAACTTACATAAAACAATATAGAAACAGCAGCAGCAGCAGTAGCAGCAGCAGCTGCTGCTGCTGCTGTTGCTGCGAACATATCCATTAACGAGGCGCTGCAGCAGCAGCAAAGGAAAACGTTCCTAAGGCCTAAACAAGCAGCTGCAGCAGCAGCAGCAGCGGAAGCAACAGCCGCCACAGCAGAACAGCAGCAAGGGGGACAGCAGGCCTGCTGCAGCTGCAGCAGCTGCTGCAGCAGCTGCGGCTGCTGCTGCTCTGTTTAATTAAATGTCTTCGCCTTCACTCGTCCCTCGTTTTTTATTGCCTGTCTTGCAGCAAAAACAGTAGCAGCTGCTGCCGCGGATCTTGCTGTTGCTGCTGCCGATCCTGTTGCTGCTGCTGCTGCAGATCCTGTTCTGCTGCTGCTGCTGCTCGTGTTGCTGCTGTTGCGCCCGCATTGTCCGCGTGTTTGCTGTTGCTGCTGCTGCCCATATGTGTTTTTCTTCTTCTTTTCTCTTTTTTTCCGCTGCTGCAGTTCCTGCTACTGCTGCTGCTGTCTGTACACCTCGTGGTCACCTAATGGTTCTCTCCTCCACAGGTTTATTGAAAAGAATAAAAACAAAAATTAAAAAATAAATAAATTAGAAAATAAAATAATAATTAATTGTTTTAATTCCTTCTAAAATGCCTACAGTATCGAAAACAGCGCAGCAAGCACACTTTTACCTGCTGCTGCTGTTCCTGCTGCTGCTGCTGCTGCTGCTGCTAAAGCTGCATCCTGCATGCAACAGCAACAAAATTTGTTTTATTTGAGATTTATTTTCTTATTTGAGTTTATTAAGCTATAAAAAGAGAAAATATAAAACGCAAAAGCAGCCCAGGGTCACTTTGTGGGCTGGCTAGCAGCAGCAGCAGCAGCAGCAGCAGCAGCAGCATCGAGGTATCGGGCGTAGACATTATTCAGCCCTATCCTTTTCTTGTTTATATATTTACTGTTGCGGGCATATTTGCTGCTGCTGCTGCTGCGGGACCTGCAGCAGATGCTGCTGCAACCATACAGAAGAGCGGCAGCAACAGCAGCAGCAACAGCAGCAGCAGCAGCAGCAGTAACGAGCGTGTCTCGACAGTAGACACCGCGCTTCCTGTGCACTCTAAGCAGCAGCAGCTCAACAGGGTGGGGTTGTTGTTGCTGTTGCTGCTGCTACTGCTGCGAGTTCCAGCTATAGCAGCAGCAGACACACAGCAGCAGACACACAGCAACTGATTCAACTGGTCAACGCTGCAGCAGCAGCAGCAGCAACTGCAGCAAAGATCTCAGCAAGCGCAGCATCAGCTGCTACAGCAACCAGAACAATTATTGTTTCAACTGCAGCAGCAGCAACAACAGCAGCAACAGCAGCAGAAACACAGCTGCAGACTCCTCTCCCATCGAGCAGCAGCAGCACCAGCAGCAGCAGCAGCAGCAAGAATCAAACCAATTGAAATAGCACCGTCAGCCGCACATCAGCAGCCACAGGAGTTGCAGCAGCAGCAATCGCAACACCAGCAGCAGCAGCAGCAATCGAAGCAGCAGCAGCAGCAATCGCAACAGCATCAGCAACAACGGCAGCAGCAGCAGCAACAGCAGCAAGATGGGCAGCAGGTCCTCTTCACTCAGGGCTAACTCTGGAGTCTCCTACGCAAAGAAATCTTTGAGGGACTCTACAAAGCAGCAGCAGCAGAAACAGCAGCAGCAACAGCAGCAGCAGCTGCAGCAGCAGCAGCTGCTGCTGCAGCAGCAGCAGCAGCAGCAAGAGCATCAACCGCTGCGTTTTGAAGGCATAAGCAAAATTTATTACCTTAGCCACAAACCTCTGGGCAAGGGCTCTTTCGGGTAATTAGAATAAATAAATAAATAAATAAATAATTAATTAATTAATTAATTAATTAATTAATTAATCAATTAATTAATTAATTAATTAGTTAATAATGAATAAATAAATGAAGCCTTACAGATGCGATTTGCCTTTTGTTTGATTTTTTTCTCTTCCGCCAAATCAGCTGCTGCAGTACCTGCTGCAGCAGCAGCTGCTGCTGCTGCAGCAGCTGCAGCAGCAGCAGCAGTAAAAGCAGCTGCGACAGCAACTCCTACAGCAGCAGCAGCTGTTGCAGCAGCAGCAATTGCGGCTCCAGCTGCATCAGCAGCTGCAGCAGGAGCAAAAGCAACTCCAGCAGCCGCTGCAGCAATTGCAGCAGCAGCAGCAGCAACAGCAGCAACAGCAGCAACCGCAGCAGCAGCACCAGCAGCAGGGCGTGCGTGTTTGCTGTAGGCTAGTTTTGAAAGGAACAGAAAGGAAAACAAAAAAAGAATTTGCAATTAAAGTTGTAAATAAACAAATTTTAAAAACTCAAAACCTCGAAGCCCTTTTTCAAACTGAAGTACAAATCGTCAGCCAACTCAGTGAGACACAAACCCTAAACCCTAAACCCTAAACCCTAAACCCTAAACGCTAAATCCTAAGCACTAAGCCCTCAACACCTCCTAGACCAGAAA